ATATTTCCCATATGGCTACTATTATTGTTAATATACCGCCAATTCCTGCAATTAAACAAATTACCAATGAAAATTTATACATTCATAATCCTTTAATAATTAATATTAATGCTTTATGTGATACTTTAACTTATCAATATATGTTACATTTTAGTTTTAGTTATACTGATCAACATTTATTCTGATATGATGTTCCAGATATAATAAAAATGAATCCAACAGATTTAGAGGATTGGTTAACAGTTCATGTATATGATTCTCAAATTAATTCTACAAAAAATCAACATTCTATGAAATATGTTACATTTGTTGACTTAATTCCATTGGATCTTAAATTAACTAAACAATATTTTGAAGCTCTTCAAATTTTATTTAATATTACTCTGATTAAAGATTATTTACAATAAAATGTGATTCCAGTTCCCGCGGATTTTCCAGGACAAGTATATATACGATCTGCTATCATTCAAAAATTAAAAGAAAATAACAACATATCTAATGAAATTTTAGGGATTATTCCTATGTTAGGTCCTCTTCACATTTCATTAAATAGTCATGAAATTCTTGTTATGAAATATTGGCCATTTTTTAATGAACTTTGGAAAGCAGTAATAGGACAACGGAAAAAACTAGCTGCTAAACTAAAATTTTGAAGAATCAACTTAATTTTGCATATTACTTATTCTGCTTGGCTTTTAATTAAAACTAAAGTTATTCAAAATTTCAAACTTCAAGGGATTTAGAATATTGTACTTTTATTGATTTATTGGATAATCTTATTCCTTTAATGCTTGAAATTTATGCAAATCTTTTCGTGGAGGGTTTTTTGATTATTATATTGAATTTATATTTTGTGTATGGTGTCTTTTCGAAGAATGAGACGCAAAAAATATGACAAAGCACTTTTGATTTTTCTTTCAGATATTATTTATTGGGAAACTATTGGTCATCCTCTTTTTGAATCTATGTGAAATAATCTTCCATTTTTTAATGAATATTTTGTGGAAAATTTTCATTCTAGTTTATGAAGACAAATATCACACAAAATATTAAATCATGAAGGACTCCAAAAAGATGCATTTGTTATAGATGCTTTATGTAAAGAAAATAATTTTAATAATTCTTATGTTCAGAAAGAGCAATATTCATAAAAGGGAAAAAAATTACAGAATTTGATTTTTCTTACAGAAGATTTTTTATTAAAATTTTTTTCTTAATTGTATAATAATCAAAACAAAAGTTATATTATTGAATATAATACAGGAAGGAGGAGATTAAAATATTCACAGTATTTTTTTGTTACCTTAAATACAAAAGTAGATGTTATGCTTTTTCCTACTGGATATAATTCAGATCAACCTTCTTCTGAAAAATTCTGTGATTATGATCAATGTTCAATTTTATCTGACACAGAAAGTTCACGGCAGGTTTTAATCTGTGGTCATGCATATCATAGTGATTGTTTAAAAACTTTAAATTTCATATGTTTACCTTGTATACATTATTTTTGTGATGGAATTAAAAAACTTTCTCAAAGTTTTATAGATAGATTATCAAAAGGAATATCAGAAGATTTACTTATTTTAGAAGAAGAAGATGATAGGATTACAGATGAAGATAATAATATGTTTGAAGATGAAATAGGTGAAAACATATTAGCACAAGAAAAATTCTTTCATTCTTTATCTTTATTTTAATTTTTATGAACATTTGGTTTATTTGGTTTAAATAAACATCATATCTATTGATTTTATTGTTATAATTTTCATATTTTTAATATTTTTTTTTGTATTTTTTGCGTATCATTTAATTAATAAATAATGATCAGCAATGATCAGCAATAATCGACAAATTGTTACTAAATTAGAAATGTTCCCCATGCTATATGCATTTTTATATGGTTAGAATATCTTTCAATCAAAAATATAGTTTATCATCTCAAACTACCAACCGCTTAATTTTTCTTGGTCGCATCCTTCTTCATTGCTTATGAGAAACTAAAGATAGGTACCATAATTAAGAAGTTGCAATTTGGTTGCAACTCCTTGTAAATTTATTTTAATATAAAAATTCATAAAATGTTTCAACTCAAAGTGTTACAACTTAAGTTGCAACTAGTTAAAAATTTTAAAAATAATTATAGAAATCATCTTTATGAGAAACAGCCTTTTTTTTTTCTTACCTCAATTATCTCAACCAAATCAGATTCTTCGGAAGGTTCAGACGAATAGAAAGAACTCTTATATTTTTTGATATTTGGTGAGGAAACTATTTCATGAATTAAGTTTCCTATCTACATTCATTCAGATTAAAGATAAGAACCGTAATTAATATATTACAACTTTTAATGTTACAACGTATGTTACAATTAGTTTTAACCTATATATATTGCAATTTATAATATTGCAATATATGTTGCAACTAATTTTAGCTTATGTTGCAATATGTTGTAAATTTGAAATTAATTGTTGCATCATCTTTAGTCCAGATTTTCCAATTTGACTTTAAAGATCCAATATCTCTTTCCAATCTTTTTATCTTTTTTTTTAAAGTGTTATATTGGGAATATAATTTTTCAATTGTTTCTTTAGTACCATATTTTTACTAGAAAGTACATTATACACTTCTGCATTTGTTCATTTAGTCTAAATATTCAGGCTAATTTTTTGTGTATCTGATAACTTCATGCTTATTGGATTATACATGAAATCGAAATGAAAACCCAAAAGTCAAAGTTGAAATGAAAAGTCAAAATAGTCAAAATGACATCATATCAAATAATTTTTAATTTTTTATATATAAAAAAAATAAAAAAAATAAAAGATGTACGATCTCGGTCAATATCACTCTGATTCATATGAAATAACCACCATTCGATTTCTTGTGACTAAATGAATCCAATTTTTAATAAGCTAATATACATTAATATTGAATCAGCTCATCTCAAGATATTATGATCAAATTTCAAAATCTAGACTTCTTTATTTAAAGTAAAATTTATTGATTTATAATTTCAGCTGATAATACAATTGCGATTATCTCGTGATTGGATGATCCAAAATCAATTAATGTTAGCTCATTGGATTCATCTAATTGCAAAGAATCGAATGGATTTTTTTGTTTTTTAATGATGCAGTACTGCTATTAAGTTTTATTAATTTTATATTGTATACTAAATAAAATTTACAAAGAAAAATACAAAGTAGATAAAAAACTAAACTAATGACTATCTTACATAGTCCTATTACTAATAAAAGCTCAAATCCATTTAGATCAACTGATCACCAGAATCCCTCTCTGACCCAACCAAAAAATCCATATCTAATGATTAAACCATCAACAAGAAATTCAAATGAGGTTGTCAATACAGCAATGTAATTTCTAAATACCCTTCGATCCCAACTTCTAAATAAAATTTAAAAACTAACAACCTCTTAAGAAGAAAAATAGGTATAAATAAAATTATTAAAAAAGACAAACACAACTCTATAAAAACCTAAATATCCAGTTAATTCTGGATATAACGACCACCTGATCAAAGAAGATGCATCCAAAGAAAGGTCTAAACAGAAGCTCTTCATACTTATAAATTCATAAGTACTAAAAAAATATCACATGGAATCTACTACAAGAATCCTACAACGAATTAACAGATAGTAACCTATACCACCTGGTTACCAAGAAGCAACAGATTGAGACGAAGCGGACTTACACTGAGTAAGCAAATGGCAATGACCACTCAGAGCTCCATTTAAAACTACGATAGGCTGACAAAATACAAAACCAAGTGGTAGCTACTATTAGGGTTCCTCAAAATCGAATTAAATCAAATATTTAAGCAATTTGAATTTGATTTGATTTTTTCAAATCAAATCAAA